CACTGAATTATGGGTGCCCCCCCCATGGTCCACCCGCTTTTGGCACGCGATGGCAAAAAGGTTAGTCATCACTGTTCTAGGCTGTATCAGGGAAGATTATAATACCAGGTGCAATGGAAGGAATAGCCGTTGTCTGAAGCTCCCTGGGTAAAGAGCTGGTATGTAAAAGCAGATTGACTAAGCAGTTAAATACCTTGGAAAGCCAAAAGCACCTCCTGGGAGAGGGAAGAGTGGCTGACTGAACACTAATTGATTTCCGTTTCAAACTTTTCTGGGTGTTCTGTCCCCGTCTCACACACGCACACAAACAGCCAGGAGTTAAATAAAACTTGCAGACAATAAATTCCTTTGATAACAGGATTGGCAGCAACCCAGTAGCTGCTTGCCAAGAACTTTACTCACAGAGAACCAAAACAAATACACAAAGCCACAGAATTGTCAAGTCCAGTCCATATTAAATCCAAGGCAGGCAGATAACGTAGTTTCAGAGATACAATGCGACTCGCTAGTTGTTTAGTTTTGTCCGTCACAGAGCCTGAATGGCCACCACACCCCCTTTTATCCCCTGTGGGGTGTGGTCCAGTGACTCAGCTTAATCTCTGGCACGCCTCCTTTTTTGCTGTGGGCGCTTGTCTCTCCGACGCTGGTGTGGATCCAGCCAAGACTTATCTCCGTCACTGTCCGACTGCGACTGCTCGGTGATACCTGGCTCCTGGCCAATCTCTTCTCCTTCGGGAGACACCCAAGGCATTGCCAGAGAGGAGGGTCCTGGAGAGGGAGCCCTGGCCAACTCCTCTCCTTCACTTTCGGAGCCTTCTCCCTCCGATAAGACGGGCTCGGGGGTCGGAGTCACAACACGTTAAGAGGGAGATCTGACTGTCAACTCTGAAGCCATCCTGGCTGAAGCCATCTTTTGCTACCTTAGTTGCCACAAGCCCTGAGAGGGGCAAGGGAGCGGGGGAAGTATATAGACCGGCTGGGTTTCTTGTGGGAACCAAGATCAGATGCACAGGTGGCTGTGGAAGGAGGAGAGGAGTGACCAACCTGCCAGCACTTTTACTGGACAATGTGACCTGTGACATCTGGGAGAGGGAACTTTCACTTTTTAATTAGATGAAAACCATAGGAACTTTTATTAGAGTCGGTTTTCACCGGCTGCGCGATATAGTGTATCCAATAAACATGTCCTTTGAGGAATCTACCTGCCTTGGAATTCTGCTTTCAATGGGTGCGCTCAGAACGCTGACATTTTGTTCTCTATGGGGATCATGCCAAAGATGCTGGACAAGGATCTAGGATCCAAGAGACCACAGCTCCAGAATAGATTATCTGTAGCTCAGCACTGAACTGCAAGGTCTTTGATGCTCTCTGAACTTGATGGTTTCCTTCAGATGTTTCAATACCCAGCTAGGTAAAAGCATCAATGTTAATGATGTCACCTAGCATTGATAATGTTATCTAATTGGGTGATGAAACGTTTTCAAGGAAACAAGTTGAGAGGACACCAAGGTCCCCACACCATCTTTGGCCAAAGAGCCCCTGTTGACTCAGTGCATGGAGCTTACTATCCCATCATGAGTTGAGAATCACGAGTGTGTCTGGCACATATAAATAGCTACCAATGATCTGCCCTTAAGGGCAGGGGTCCATCCAAATCCCCCCGGGACATTTCCCTTAAAGTTCATCCAAAATCTCCACCTTTGAATTCAATCCCAAAGACAGAAGTGTCCAGCGAGGGAGGATGGAGTCAAAATAAAATGAAAGGCAGCTTTTTGTGCACAATTGAAGGATATTTTTTTCTGCCATCTTGACTTTTGTGAACTCCCAGTTCGTGCCCTGAAAACAATCCTCTTGATTATTTTGAACAATAATTTTTATTAAGGGTTATATTCACAGATCAAAGAAAGAAACTTAATACAACAACGTAATAACAGCTCTCAAAAGAAACCAGCATAGGTGCATAAAGTACTCTCTGACAAACTGAAAGACAAAAAGGACAAGTATAAAAAGTGGAAAGAGGGACACATAACTAAGGCAGAATATCAGCAAATAGCCCGAGCCTGCAAAGATGAAGTGAGGAAAGCTAAGGCTCACAATGAACAAAAGTAAAAAAAAAAAAAAAAAAAAAAAAAGCTTCTTCCAACATGTTAAAAACAAGAAAAAAAGTCAAGGAAACAACTGGCCCATTGCTGGGAGAAAATGGCAAGAAAGTGACAAGCAACAGGGAGAAAGCAGAACTGCAGTCCTGCGGTTTTTTGCAACTGTCTACACAAAGGGAAAAAACAGTCCAACCTATCAAAAACAGCACCACAAAAACCAGTTTAGGAACACAAGTTAAAATAGGGAAGAAAATGGTAAGTGAGCACCTGTCTACCTTAGACGAGTTCAAATCACCAGGACTACATAAATTACACCCCAAGGTTCTGAAGAAACTGGCAGACGATATCTCAGAACCTCTGAATTATATCTTTCAAAGATTCTGGAACACCTGGGAACTGCCGGGACTGGAAAAGAGCTGATGCAGCTTCAAAAAAAAAAAAAAAAAATAGATCCAGGAAACTACAGACCTATCAGCCTAACCTCAATACCAGGGAAGATTCTGGAAAAGATAATCAAGCAACGAATCAGTGAACACCTAGAAGCAAACTACTAAGTAATAACCAAAACCCAAAATGGGTTTGTCAAAAACAGATATGCCAGCCTAATTTTATTGCATTCTTTGACAAAGTGACAAAATTAGTGGGCCAGAGGAATATAAGTTACTTTGCCAATATGCTTATATGCTGCCAATATAAGTTACTTTGGAAGGCATTTGATAAAGTAGATCATAACCTACTACTAGATAAGTAGGTTAAACCACATCACCACCAGATGGATTCGTAACTGGCTGACCAATTTCACTTAACATGTAGTCCTCAATGGAACTGCATCTACATGGAGGGAAGTATGTAGTGGGGTACTCCAAGGCTCTGTTTTAGGTGTAGTACTCTTCAACATCTTCATCAATGACTTGGACGAGGCGATAGAGGGGGAACTCATCAAATCTGCAGATGACCGCAAGCTAGCAGGAATAACCAACATTCCAGAAGATAGGCTTAAGGTACAGAAGGATCTTCACAGACTTGAACATTGGGTGCTATCTAACAAAATGAAATTCAATGGTGAAAAAAGTAAAGTTCTACATTTAGGGAAGAAAAACAAAATGCACAGGTACCATATATGTGGTACCTTGCTCAATAGTAACTGTGAGAGGGATCTTGGAGTCCTAGTAGACAGCCATTTAAATATGAGCCAGCAGTGTGTAGCAGCTTCCAAAAAAGCCAACACAGTTCTGGGCTGCATAAACAGAGGAACAGAATCAAGATCACGTGAAGTGTTAATACCACTTTATAATGCCTTGATAAGGCCACACTTGGAATCCTGCATTCAGTTTTGGTTGCCACGATGTAAAAAAAGATGTTGAGACTCTAGAAAGAGTGCAGAGAAGAGCAACAAAGATGATTAGGGGATTGGAGGCTAAAACATATGAAGAATGGTTGCAGGAACAGGGTATGTCTAGTTTAATGAAAAGAAGGACTAAGGGTGACATGATAGCAGTGTTCCAGTATCTGAGGGGCTGCCCCAAAGAAGAGGGAGTCAAGCTATTCTCTAAAGCACCTGCGGGTAGGACATGAAGCAATGGGTGGAAGCTAATCAAGGAGAGAAGCAACTTAGAACTAAGGAGAAATTTCCTGATAGTTAGAACAATGAATCAGTAGAACAACTTGCCTCCAGAAGCTGTGAATGCTCCAACACTGGAAGTTTTTAAGAAGATGTTGGATAACCATTTGTCAGAAGTGGTGTAGGGTTTCCTGCCTAGGCAGGGAGTTGGACTAGAAGACCTCCAAGGTCCCTTCCAACTTTGTTATTCTGTTTTCTGACAGGCAGCATTTTGTGCACGATTGAAGGATACTTTTCCTGCCATCTTGACTTTTTTAAACTCCCACTTCATGCCCTTAAAACAGTCCTCTTGATTATTTCGAATTTTATTAAGGGTTATATTCACAGATCAAAGAAAGAATCTTACTACAACTACGTACAGTATGTCTATAAATATACTGTATGTATGTATGTATATACATATGAAAAAGACAATGTAAGGGGAAAAAAATCCCTCACCCATTTCATCATCTCTAAATTGTCAGAGTTCTCCTTATTGATCAACAAAGTCTAGTAAGAATATACAAAAATATCTGGGTGCCTTGATTTATGAATGGAACAACTTAACACCAAAAATGCATTCCCAGTTGTGGTCATAAATCAAGAATTACCTATACATTGCAAAACATTATATATACTCCCTACATCCTTATAACCCTTTTGTGTAATGACTCTGCCAAGTTACCAGGGTGGATTAAAATCAATGATTTTTTTAAAAAATTAAAAAAAATCAGATTTTTTTTTATTTAAATCGGATTTTTTTGATTTAAATCAAATTTATTTTAATAAAAAACTTTTGGGGTAAAAATCTATTGTAAGGTAGTTTTCTATTTAAGATTCATAAATAATTTAGTTTATTCAGCATGAAATGGAACTTAGTTATGTAGCATGAGGCTGTATATTCTGCAACACTGGGACTATCAGTGAGTCAACAGTGGGTCAAAGGAGTAGCAGAGATGACAGTTGCTCTTTAAAAATTATGATTTAAATCGAGTTGATTTAAATCAACCCTTTTTACTAGTGATTTAAATCAAGATTTAAATTGTGATTTAAATCAACTCGATTTAAATCAAATCCACCCTGCAAGTTACTAATTCTGCTTTGTGAGCAAAACATCCTCACACTCCTAATATTTATGGTCTTTTCCTTCAATCTGTACTCTCTCTGAGAATTTGAGGTTGCTTCACTAGCAAAAACATTTTCCCTAGGCCAAACATTTGTAGGATTTCTCTTCTGTCACTGTGCGAACTTCTATGTGAATTGTAAGATGTGACCTTAAAAAAAAAAAAAATCAACGTTGTTCACAACTGAAGAGATTTATTTCTGCTATGGACTTTCTGATGTATTTTTAACTTTGATTTGCAATGAAAGGGTTTCTCACACTCTGCACACTTGTAAGGCCACTCTCCTGTGTGATGTCGGGTGTGCATTTGAAGTGCTGAACGACTGGCAAAACATTTCCCACACTGCAGACATTTATATGGTTTCTCTCCAGTGTGGATTCGCTGATGTGTCACAAGAACACTTTTTTCAGAAAAACATTTATTGCACTCGGAACATTTGTGGGGTTTCTCTCCTGTATGGATTCGGCTGTGACTTCTAAGGGCAGCTGACTGAGCATATGCTCTCCCACAGTCTAAACATTTGTAGTTTTTTTCCCCTGTGTGAGTTTTGCCATGAACTATAAGGGCTGTTGAGGTACGATAAAATCTTCCACATTCATTGCATTGATATGGCTTCTCCCCTGTGTGGATTTTTATTTTATTTATTTATTTATTTTATATTGGATTTCTATACCGCCCTTCTCCCTAAGGACTCAGGGCGGTGTACAGCCAGATTAAAAAAAAACATGCAGAACAAATATTAAAAACAATTAAAAGATATATAAATTTGGCCCAATTAAAACTCATTTACCAATTAAAAACGTTTAAAACATTTAAAAACAGTTAAAAATTTCATCTTAAGCCAGCCCGGCTTGTTTAAATAAATGGGTTTTAAGGGCGCGACGGAAGGCACTGAGGTCTTGGATTCTCCTTATCTCTGGGGGGAGCTGATTCCAGAGGGTGGGTGCCCCCACAGAGAAGGCCCTCCCCCTGGGGGTCACCAGCCTGCATTGTTTGGCTGATGGCACCCCGAGGAGGCCCTCTCTGTGGGAGCGCACGGGTCGCTGGGAGGTCGTCGGTAGCAGCAGGCGGTCTCGCAGATAGCTAGGCCCTATGCCATGGAGCGCTTTAAAGGTGATAACCAACACCTTGAAGCGCACCCGGAAGACAACTGGGAGCCAGTGCAGCTCGCGCAGGAGCGGTGTTACATGGGAGCGCCATGCTGCTCCCGTCACTACCCGCGCTGCTGCGTTCTGGACCAGCTGGAGCCTCCGGGTGCTCCTCAAGGGGAGCCCCATGTAGAGAGCGTTGCAGTAGTCAAGGCGAGAGGTGACGAGGGCATGAGTGACTGTGCACAGGGAATCCTGATCAAGAAAGGGCCGCAACTGGCAAATCAGGCGAACCTGACAAAAGGTCCCCCTGGTTACAGCCGTCAGATGTTCCTCCAAGGACAGCTGCATATCCAGGAGGACTCCCAGATTGCGAGCCCTCTCTGTGGGGGCCAATGACTCGCCCCCAATAGTCAGTGATGGAGTCAACTGACTATATCGGGATGCCGGGAGCCACAGCCACTCAGTCTTGGAAGGGTTGAGCTTGAGCCTGTTCCTCCCCATCCAGACCCGTACAGCCTCCAGGCACTGGGACATCACTTCAAGGGCATCGTTGGGGTGGCCTGGGGTGGAGATGTACAGCTGGGTGTCATCAGCGTACTGGTGGTATCTCACCCCAAAGCCACGGATGATCTCACCCAGCGGCTTCACATAAATGTTGAACAGAAGGGGCGAGAGGACCGATCCCTGCGGCACTCCACAAATGAGAGGCCTCGAGGTCGACCTCTGCCCCCCTGCCAACACAAACTGCGACCGGTCGGAGAGAAAGGAGGAGAACCACCGCAACACGGTGCCTCCCACCCCCAACTCTTCCAGCCGGTGCAGCATGATACCATGGTCGATGGTATCAAAAGCCGCTGAGAGGTCTAACAGGACCAGAACAGAGGAACAACCCCTGTCCCGAGCCCTCCAGAGATCATCAACCAACGCGACCAATGCCGTTTCTGTGCTGTGCCCAGACCTGAAACCCGACTGGAACGGATCTAGATAAGATGTTTCCTCCAGGAATTGCGGAAACTGTCGTGCGACCACACTCTCAACAACCTTCGCCATAAAGCGAAGGTTGGAGACAGGACGATAGTTGGCCAATATTGCCGGATCCAGGGACGGCTTCTTGAGGAGAGGCCTCACCACCGCCTCTTTCAAGGCGGTGGGGAAGTAACCCTCACTCAACGAAGCGTTGATAACACCCTGGAGCCAGCCTCGTGTAACCTCCCGGGAAGCCAGTACCAACCAGGAGGGACACGGGTCCAGTAAACATGTGGCCGCACTAAGTCTCCCCAAAATCCTGTCCACATCATCAGGAGTCACAGCATCAAACTCCTCCCAGATAACATTCTCAAGACTATTCCTCGTCACCCTGCCCTGATCTACCCAGTCAGAGTCCAAATCCCCCCGGATCTGGGCGATTTTGTCATACAGGTGATGACTCCAAAGTACTTGCTTATAAGCAAATGATTTTCCACATTCTACGCAGCTGTATGGCTTCTCTCCTGTGTGGACCCTCTGATGCTTTCCAAGATTTGCTTTTTGGGAGAAACCTTTCCCACACTCCCCACATTTGAATGGCTTCTCCCCCGTGTGGATTCTCTCATGAACCTGAAGCTCTTTTTGTGTAACAAAACTTTTCACACACTCCCCGCATTGATAGGGTTTCTCCCCTTTGTGCCTCATCTGGTGTCTCTTAAGTTCACTAGAATGCATAAATCGAATCTCACATTCTGGGCATTCATAGGGTCTCTCTCCAGTGTGACGTTTCTGGTGTAGCACCAGGGTTGATTTCAAGGTAAAACATTTGCCGCATTCGAGGCACTTTTCGTTTTTCTCCCCTCTGTGTTTTTTCTCATGTTTCCGAAGAGATGAGGTCTCGGTGAAACATTTTCCACACTCATAGCATTTGTAAGGTTTGATTCCTGCATGATATTTCTCATGGAGCCCAAGACTTGAATTCCGAGAAAAGCTCTTCCCACATTCCCAACACTTATAAGGTTTCTCCCCTGTGTGAATTATCTTGTGGTTTCTGAGATAGCCTTTTCTACGGAAAAATTTCCCACATTCCAGACATTGATAAGATTTCTCTTCAGTGTGGATTTTCTGATGTGTAAGAAGGTCTGGCTTTTGACCAAAGCGTAAGTCACATTCCTCACATTTATAGGGTTTTAGTCTGGAGGAGCTTCTGAGATCCTTTGCTTCATTTTCAGAGTTGGATTTCTGACCCTCCAAATCTTGGCTGGACCCACTTCCCACATGGACCTTCCTGTGGGTCAAAAGGAGGGACCTGCGAGCAAAAGATTTCCCACACTCTGAGCATTCATGAGATTTTTTGTGCTTTTTCGGAGGGCTGCTTGTGTCTGACGGGGGATCCAAGAGTTTCCCACGCTTCATGCTTTCCTTTGGCTGCTGAATTTCTAATATCTGTTGATAATTGGCTTGCGGGTAAATCTTTGGTCACAATTTTTACCTGCTGTTAGAAGGAGAAAAAAGTGAAGAATTATATTTCCTTTTGAGACACGGAGAGGGTAACAATATCTTAGCCTTGGTGGGAACCTTGAGAGTCTTCCAGTCTGACCCTCTGCCCAGGTGTTCAGTACACCTGAGGGAAAGGGATGGAGCCCCTACATCTCTAAGAGAGATGCCTTCTGCCACCAATTGCCTCCCACCGGCCGGTTCGCTCCCACAGAGAGGGCCTCCTCAGGGTGCCGTCAGCCAGACAATGTCGGCTGGCGACCCCCAGGGGGAGAGCCTTCTCTGTGGTGGCACCTGCCCTCTGGAACGATCTACCCCCAGAGATACGAGTTATCCCAGACCTCCGGATTTTTCGTCGGGCCCTAAAAACTTACTTTTTTCAGTTAGCTGGGCTGGCCTGATTCCATGTTGGTTTTAAAGTTTGATACTGATTTTTAATTGAAATGTTTTAAATTATGGGCCAAATTTCATTTAATAATTTTTAAAATTATTTTAACTTTTGTGGACAAATGTTTTTATTTTGGCTGTTCACCGCCCTGAGTCCGAAAGGAGAAGAGTGGTATACAAATCTAATAAAAGATAAAGATATGACCATGGTTGGGGAGGTGCAGGCAATAGTCTTGGGAGCATTTTTGGAGTGGGGGAAGACAGTCACATGCCACCTATAAATTGGGGAACTAAACTAAAGTGGGATGCAAAACTGCAGCCACTCCTGGAAGCCTGAGCCTAGCCATGCAAAGCAGCTCTGACTGACAACAATGGTAGCTTGGAGCTGGGCCTTAAGGGGAGTCCTGAGGCCTTCGGCACTCTCAGCCATCTAGCCAATAGGAGTCGGGCAGATCTCAACTGAGCGCATCAGCAGCTATGTCACAAAGAATATTTCTAGAATTGGGGATCAAGAGATTAGCAAATTCTCCAACACTGGAAGTTTTTAAGAAGATGTTGGATAACCATTTGTCTGAAGTGGTGTAGGGTTTCCTGCCTGGGCAGGGGGTTGGACTAGAAGACCTCCAAGCTCCCTTCCAACTCTGTTATTTTATTTCTATTTCTGTATAAGAGGAAAAACATCACTTCCAAAGTACAACATCTTGGAAAATACGCTGCATTCAGCTGGGGAGGAGATGCCATTTAATAGAAGACAGAAGAGAAGGAGAGAATTACCCACGGTTGAAGTTGTTATGTGAGTAGTTAAGGTTAGTGCTGTTAATAAATCCCCCAACAATATCTCATTAAATTTATACTATCTGAAGTGATATTTCTATGGAAAACAGGTAATTGGTGGAGAAATTGACAAAAATCGGAAAGAAGTACTGTATATTCAATATGTGGTATGTGAAATATCACAATACTACTGTAACGCTCTCTACATGGGGCTTCCCTTGAGGAGCACCCAGAGGCTCCAACTGGCGCAGAGTGCGGCCGCGCGAGTGGTTATGGGAGCAACATGGCGCTCCCGTGTGACACCTCTCCTGCGCGAGCTGCACTGGCTCCCGGTGGTCTTCCGGGTGCACTTCAAGGTTTTGGTTACCACCTTTAGAGCGCTCATGGCTTAGGACCTGGTTATTTACGGGACCGCCTACTACCACTAACAGCCTCCCACCGGCCGGTACGTTCTCATAGAGAGGGGCTCCTCCAGGTGCCGTCAGCCAAGCAGTGTCGACTGGTGGCCCCCAGGGGGAGGGCCTTCTCTGTGGGGGCACCCACTATCTGGAACGAGCTCCCCCCGGAGATACGGAGGATCCCAGATCTGCGCACTTTCCGCCGTGCTCTTAAGACCCTTCTATTCCAGCAAGCCGGCCTGGCCTAATTTTCTCCCCTTTCTTTTAAATTTTTAAACTGAAATTTTAATTTGTTTTAAATTATTGGGATTTTTAATTGTCTTGGGCTAAATTATTTAATTTGCTTTTAAATTGTTTCTAACTTTTGTATTTATGTATTTTATTCTGTGCCTGTTCACCACCCTGAGTCCTTCGGGAGTAGGGCGGTATATAAATTTAATAAAACAAACAAACATCTTGGAAAATACACTGCATTTAGCTGGGGAGGAGATGCCATTTAATAGAAGACAGAAGAGAAGGAGAGAATTACCCACGGTTGAAGTTGTTATGTGAGTAGTTAAGGTTAGTGCTGTTAATAAATCCCCCAACAATATCTCATTAAATTTATACTATCTGAAGTGATATTTCTATGGAAAACAGAGGTAATTGGTGGAGAAATTGACAAAAATTGGAAAGAAGTACTGTATATTCAATATAATGTGGTATGTGAAATATCACAATAAAGAATAAATACCCTTAAAAGAATTTAAATTTACAATTAAAACAGGTTAATTGGGTTGGGAAAAAGAAAAAATATTTAACATGATCTATGGACAATAATGAAACATCACAGTAAAGAACAAGAATATCAATTTATGGTTAAAATCACAACTGTACACACAGTACCCTTAATTGCACACACAAGAGCCTCACATTAATTGAATTTTGGGTCACATGAAACCCAACCTGGTGTTCACACTAAATTGAATATTGCACAATATTCTCACAAATAGAATGCTGACTCTACAAGAAACATCAGAGTGAAGACGGATGGGTTTCTTATCATCCAAGAATCCTGCTTGCTCAGGTTGAACTTTGTGATGGATGCTTGAAAAAGGAGACTGGATTGGACACCTGCATTGTTCTCTATGGGGATCATGCCAAAGACACCAGACAAGGATCTAGGAGCCAACAGCTCCAGAATAGATAATCTGTAGCTCAGGGTTGAACTGCTGCAGGGTTTTGCAGATGTTTCAATACACAACTAGGTAAAAGCATCAATGCTAATGATGTCACCTTGCACTGATAATGTTCCCTGGTTGGGTAACGAAATGTCTGCAAGGAAACAACCAAGCTCAGAGAACATCAAGGTCCCCACACCATCTCTGGCCAAAGAGCCCCTTGTTGTCTGAGTGCATGGAGTTTCTCATCCCACCCTCTGTTCTGACCTAGGCTTCCTGATTGAGTAAAAGCACACAATGAGTCCCAAAGACCTTCTTTTTATTTCAACGGCTGTGAATACTGTTTATTCACAGCCTGTGCTGAATCACCAAGAGTTTGTAAAGAGTCCTTCAGGATAAGGCTGATAAGCACCTACCTTCATCTCCCTTGACACGCTGCCGAAGGCCTAATTGGCAATTATCTTTGCAAGGCCACACGGAAACACAGAGTCAAAACGGAGCTTCAGAATACAAACCGACCAGAATCAACAACGTTGCTTCCTGGAAAGGCCCACCACATACCTTTGCTCCTCCTTTATGTCTTATGGGAGGGGCCAATCATCTCCAAGCCCTACTCCCAAGTCGTCCCTTTTGTTTCAACTGTTCTTGCCTTCTGGCAGCTCTGCGCATGCACGCACTAGGAACAGGCTCCCCCTGTTCCTCTGCCTTGCTGATATCCAACTCTGGAGGCTCCGGAGTCCGCACATAACTCCCAGATGGCCCTGGCCCCATCTTTGCCTCCGACGCACACCCCTCGTCCGAGCCTTCCCCAGAGTCCAGGACTGGCCTATGTTCCTCCTCAACCACCTCACTGTCCGACTCTGCTGCCAGCTCCGCAGGCCGCTGGTGGACCACAACACCATCAGTTGAGAGGGAACCCCATCCATTCCTGGGGCTGTTGGTCAAAGAAGAAATCTCCTAGGAGCATTAAGCCTTGGCCTTCTGCAGCCTTCATCCACAACCTCCGTATCTAACCCTCAGGTAAGAGGTTGGGAAAGGGCTTTGACGGCTCTTAATAAAAGCAGCTTCTCGGGTGGACATTTTACCTGTGTTTCATCTCTTACACAGTTGGAACCAACCTCCTAGGTACACATCAAACGGTCACAAAGAGGATGGAGGCAACTTATTTTTTAAAGCACCAGAAGGCAGGACAAGAAACAATGGATGGAAACTAATCAAGGAGAGAAGCAACTGTTGTGGCCCGCCAGCGGCCTGTGCAGCTGGTAGCTGATTCCGACAGCGAGGAGGCTGGTGTGGTGATTCGCCAGTGGCCTGTGCAGCTGGCACCTGAGTCAACAATGAGGAGGCTGGAAAAGAGTTGGTGCCAGAGGCGGGGATTCAGCCAGGGCCTTCAGAACCTCCAGAAGTGAAGAGGAAGAGGAGGAGCCTCTTCTCAATGCACGGGCGCGCAGAGCTGCCAAAAGGCAGGAATGGCTCCTCAGGAGGAGGTCTCCTCAAGAGTAAGGCTTGGGGCTAATTGGCCACTCCCCTAGCCTATTTAAGGAATGATGACTGAGGCAATTTGCAGGGAACAACTTCATTCATATTCTTTTGTGTATTGACTCCAGAAACATCTGATCGGCTCTTGCTTCTCTCTTTTCATTTTTCCTGCAAATTGCTTCTGGGCATTCTGCCAACCACAGATAGCTTACAGTTATCTAAAAGACTGTACCTCAGAATTGAGTTATTATTTCTTGGACTCTTGTCAGCTGTTAATGAAGTTAAATTAACAGCCCTTGTTCAGAAAAGACTGATTTAAACTGTATTTGTGTTTGAACTACTACTAAGAAAGCTCATTAGTACTTAATTAGTAAACTAAGGTTTGTACAGACTTTGTGTGTGCTGCGTTTTTGTGGTCCGTAGCTGGGGCAGAACAGTAACTTGGAATTAAGGAGAAACTTCCTAACAGTGAGGACAATTAACCAATGGAACAGTTTGCCTCCAGAAGTTGTGGGTGCTTCATCACTGGAGATTTTTAAGAAGAGACTGGACACTTCTCTGAAATGATCTCTTGCTTGAGCAGGGGGCTGGATTAGAAGACCTCCAAGGTCCCTTCCAGTTCTATTACGATTGAAATCCTGTCACTTTTGCTTCTGTTGCAATCCTTTCCACTCCAGGCGGCATAAACCATGATTTCTTCTTAGGCATCCAGCATAAGACTAACGTAAAGCTAGATTTGGTGGTGTTAAGAAGAAATCATACTGATTAATGCTGACTGGAAAGGGCTGCAGCGGAAACTAAAGTGACCGGATTTCTTCCTGATTGTGCCCATGTGGCCCAGCGAGGGAGCAGCCTTCTAATCCATTTCCAGTTGTGGTCGAAAGTTGGGAATTACCAATACTCTGCAAAACATTATATATACTTCTCATGAACTTTTTTTTAAAATTTGATTTATATGCCGCCCTTCTCCGGAGACTCAGGACGGCTTACAATGCGCTAAGCAATAGCCTTCATACTTTTGTATATTTATACAAAGTCAGCTTATTGCCCCCACAAACTGGGTCCTCAATTTACCTACCTTAGAAAGGATGGAAGGCTGAGTCAACCTTGAGCCTGGCAAGATTCGAACTTACTAATTGCAAACAGCTGGAGTTAAATTACAATGCATTAGTCTGCTGAGCTATCCAGGTTCCTGAACTTATAACTCTTTTGTGTAATCATTCTGGTAATATACTAATGCTGCTTTGTGAGCAAAACATCCTCACGCTCCCCTCTTTTTCTCTCTCCCTCTTTCTCCCTTCTCTCATTTGCAGCTCAATTCACTTTTCCTCCCCTTCCTCCCATTACCCTTTCAAGCTCTTTCTGCAGCTTCCGAACAAGGCCAGCCTCCAAAGGACTTTCAAAGATACTGCGAGATTTAAATTTCTCAGTTTGAATCAACAGGAAACACTGTGAACAACACAAGAGCTTTATCTGAACATTTGCAAAAGTTATGCCTTCTGTGCTCGAGTGGGTAGACTAGAGCCACAGAATAGCAATGATACAAATAAGTACAGAGTTTAAATACATTTCCAAAACTTCCACCCCATCATTGATCATCATCATCATTGGTCAGTTTGCATCAATGATGCAAACTGACCAATGATGATGATGATCAATGATCATCATCATTGAGTTTTGGCTGCACAATCTTAATATCTGGTTTCCCAAAAATTCTATTCCCTTAATGGTTGCTACATGGCTTAGGACCAGGATATTTGGCGGACCACTTACAGCCAGCAACGATATCCCATCGCCCGGTTCGCGCCCATAGAGAGGGCCTACTCAGGGTGCCGTCGGCTAGACAGTGGCGGCTGGCGGCCCCCAGG